TCATCTGGGGTCTGGTGAAGACAAGCAAAGGCTGATGGGGAACGTGGAGGGCCCCTGGTCATGGTGCCTGGAGCCCCCGAGCTTCCAGTAGAGGGTCGGCCTGACCAAGCCGAGAAAGGTCTTTGCTTTACCCTGGGGATCGGAGCACGCTTCCCACTTCTCCCCTCAGCCACACTGCTGCACCTTATCCCCACCCACATCAGAGCCAGGCCCTGGGGTGCCTACGGCCCTTGAACCTTCCCTGCGTTCACAGGGTCGGTGAAGACTCTGGGGGGCGGGCAGCGGGCACCCGAGTCTGCGTTTTTCATGTTCATGGTCCACTCGTCTCAAAGGTGGGAGACAGACGGGGCTTTCGACTCCTATCAGGAGGTACCGTCTGGGAAAACCTTCAGGGACACATGGACCCTGTCCTGCCGGGTTGCCGTGAGTCAGCACAGACTCGATGTCCGTGACCATGAGGTTTGCTGACCCTCAGATGTACTCGGGGGCTTGGAGCCTGCTGGCCGTGGGTCCAATGGGTTTCCACAAGACAGGTGGCTGGGCCATGCATCCCGGGACGTGGCAGTTCCGCATGAGGTCATTTGGCAGTTGTGCAATAATGTCCTCAGCCCTGAGGGGGTCGGGGTTGGGAGGCAATGGGCTCCCTCGGCCCCCCACCCTGCCTCTCTCCCTCAGCCCCCTGCCCTGCCTCTCTGCTCTTCACTTTTATGCTGCCCAGTCAGCCCTTCCAGGGGGCAGGCACAGACGCTCCTGGTCACCCAATTCTCTCCACAATGGCGGGAGCCAAGAAGCCTGCTGCCAGGGCTCCGAGTCAGTGACTCACGGCGGCCTTACGCACAGCCGAACGAGAGGCCTCCTCATCCGGTACCACCTCCATCGCCAGGGCGTCCCTGGCGGCGGCAACTCTGTGGGGACCCCACGCCCATGTGATCCAGGGCGCGTTCACTGGCTGACTTTGGAGCTAGGTCCCCAGGCTTTTCTCCCTCATTCCAGCTTGGAGGCTCCCCTGAAGCCTGCCCACCAGGGGGTGGCCCTGCTGGCATTCAAAATGCCAGGGCACCGCTTCCAGCCTCAGAGCCACAGGCGAGACACCCCAGTAGGACAGAGGGGCAGGCTGGTGGGGGTGGGTGGTTGCGATGTCCGTTTTACAGATGGGGACTCAGGAATAGGAAGCTTTAGATCACGCCAAGGCTACAGGGCTGAAGACTGGCAGGGCTGGGGTTTGAGCCCAGGCAGTGCCGCCTCTCCTGCTCCTTGGCCTCGGTCTGGAGGCTGCGTTCTTAGCAGCTGTAGCTGCATGGGTTTGTCTGGGGGTCAGAAGTAGGTGGACCTCAAAATCTCACCTGTGGACGGCACACCTAGATGTGTGGGGACCCAGGAGCAGCTGCACTGAGGTGCTTGACAGGGATCTGAACGCTGCTACCTGTGCACCCTGCCCTCCTGTCCCCTGTGCTCTCTGCCCTGTGTAGCTCTAGCTCTCTGCTGACAGCTGAGGTTCCCTCCCGGACTGCCTGTGACCCCAATATCTTCACAGTCCATTAGTATCTGGCTGGGGTGCGTGTGCTGGAAGGTTCGGGCCCCACTCTCCTTGGCTGGTGGTTTGAGGGAAAGCTGGAGTCACAGCTTGACCACACACACAAGAGTCATGGGTAATGGATAAGGCCAGCAGTTCGAGGTCACCAGCTGCTCCAAGGGAGAAAGATGAGGCTTTCTGCTTCTGCAAAGAGTGACCGTCTCTGAGACGGACAGGGGCCGTCCCACCCTGCCCTACAGGGTTGCTGTGACTTGATGGCTGAGTTTGGTTTGGGCTGGAGTTGAAGCTATGCTCGCCGAGTTCGGGGGACTCCAGACTGGGGAGGACACTGGAAGGAGCCAGGCCTCCTCCTGCAGAGACAGAAAATGCCCCAAACCATACGCTGCACCAGGACTCTGCTCCCGTTCACTGGAAGTACCGGGCCAGGCACAGGCCCACTTGAGAGCAGGCTGTGTGCAGGGATGCGTTGGGCCGTGCCCCTGCTGCCCTGGCTGCACCACGCTGCCCAGCTCCCCTAGATGGCCAGTACAGCTGCAAACCCTGTGGATGCCGGACTGCAGGCGGGGCCCTCTGCCTTCTGAGAGGTGCAGGGTGGTTGTCGAGGAGGGAGGGAGTGGTGGCAGGGTGCTGTTCCCAAGGGAGAGCAGTGAGTGAAAGACAAGCCCTGCTCCCACTCCCACATGCCCCCACCCCCCATTGACAGGCCCCTGAGTCAGCCATAATAGCCGGAGACTCCAGCGCCCTTTGAACCACCAGTCAAGAAACGTGGAGCCCAGAACCTTCCAGTACACGCACCCCATAACCAAGCAGACAGTCCCTGTCTGGGACAGCAGCTGAGGGTGGCACCTTTGGCGTCACACCTGCTGGTTTGGTTCACAGCCGCCCGGCAGGGCAGGTCAGGGCAGGGGGTTCCCAGGTGGCA